CCTGCTATAATTTTCCTTTCCCTTCCTTTTGTTTGTTCATCTTCCTTCAATTGAGATCAGCTTAGATGGCAGCTCTGAAAAGTAAGGAAGGAAAATTTTGTGTTTGAGGAAAGCACAACAATACCCAGGCTACAGCAAGGAACTCTCGGCAGAAGGGCAGCTTTTCTTGGTGATAGTTTCTGTTTTTAGGCTGCCTGTGTTATTAATATACTGCTGTCCAGGGAGATGTACGTAAGCAGAAATTCAGACACCTGATACTTGCCAAACATAGTTTCCATAGCAAGTGGACAGATGTGCTGTGTCATGAGTTATGCCCCAGTCCCTGCAGTGATTTTTATTTCTCATTTCTCCAGTAATTTGTTTGTTCATCTTGGACAAACACAAACCTTCTGGCCACTGATTTTAGGACAGGCTCCAAGTTTTTTTTACTGGGATGCTCGGACTGTTTGGGATAAGGTTTCAAGGCATGACTTGCAAATGCTCTGCCTTTCAGTTATGAATGATTTTGTGGAGCTGTTTTGCTGAACACTCATGTATGTATTACTGTTTTCAAGCTTGAGAAACTTAAGTGCTAACCAAGCCTGCCAATTTACACTAATTTATTACAATTTCTCTGTTTTGCAGGAGGGAGTGGGCTTTAAGAGTGTTCACCATTTCCTGGCACATGAAATACTAAAGTAAAGGAAGAACAGGGGGTTGGGAGGGTGGGGGAGAAAAGCAGAATTGGCTGCAAGATAGAGGGGAGAAAGGAATGATGAAGCCAATGCTCACCTCTCAAGACAAAGGTACTTGTCAATGTGGCAGGGTTAGACTGCTCAAAATTAAAGATGCAGTTTTATGTTTTCCTACTTGTTTTGCCTGTTGGATGTGCTGTGGGATGCCCAGGCTGCACAGGGCATAAGAAGTGAAATGTCATCACAGTCCAAGTGCTGGTGCTTGCTCATGAGCCAAGTGAAGGAGGAGAGCAGGCTGGGCAAGTGACACTTGCTCTTGCCAGTACCAAGCCTGTTTGCTTGCATACCTGGCTTTGGAAATGGCTGCAGCCGTGGGGAGCAAGGCTAAAACCTGTCTGCAAGTGGCTCATGGTGCAAGGGAAGCATGGCTCTGAGGGGTGACATGCTCTCCCCTCCAACTAACCAGTGAGGCAGAGGGGAGCTCCAGCAAATTCCCCTCTCCCAGCTTTCCCTTCAGAGTGCTGGGGAGTTTGGCTCTCACTGCAGTGATGCAGCTAGCTGGAGTGGGCTGTGCTGTGTGAGGTGCTGTGCACATCCCTGCCCTGGGCAGGGAAAGCTGGCTCAGCAGGTAGCAGAGTACAGTGAATGTGATCTCCATTGTGTGTTTTCCAGGAATATCCACAAATCCTCTTGGACCAGACTTCATCATTGTACAAGATGCTGTTCAAACACATTCTTTTTTCCTGAGTTTTCCATCTAACCTCCATATTCTTGAAATGTCTAACTCTAGGCAGCAATAATCTGCACTTCTTAGACAGAGGTATGCTGGGGACCACCCCAGGGTGCTGCTGGAACAGTGGGGAGGCCATTCTGTGTGTCAGGCTGCTGCTGGCACTGATAGTGCAGGCACATCCCTCCCTGCCCAAGGGCAGCAGCTGTCAGAGCAAGCTGAAGAAATGGTTAACTGTGTGAGTGAGAATTCCTAAAGTGAAACACTTTCTTCCATGCAGGGTGCAGCAAGGCCTCTCATCACTTCTGACACTCAGCATTAATTAAACATATGGCAGGAACAGTGATCTTGGCTCTCCTGGGAGGCTTGGAGTAGATACACACCTGCATGTCTGTGGCCAGTAACCATGTGATTCTCCTGTGCTGGGAAAGGAGAAACTACAGAGAAGCTCCTACACAAGTCGTAGCTCTAATCAGGGAAGAAAATGCTGGTTTATGGTAGTCCTCAAAAGTGTTGTTGAAGAGAGGCAGAACTGTGAGGACTAACTCTGCAGGACTTTGAGACAGTGGGGTCTGCAGTGAGCCACAGACAGTGGGGTCAGTTCCTTTCCCTGTCTCTCCATTTGATAGATCATGTGGAGACTGGGGCTTGGCCTGGATTTGAAACTTGTTATTTTAAAGAACAGGAAAGAAAGAAACAAATCTCATTTTTATAATAGTGATTTTGGAAAGCCCTGTTCTTTTCTGTGTGTTTTTCCAGTGCTGATTGAGAGGAGACTTGGTGAACAGGTGCAGACGTGGAAATCAGGCTGCTTGCTCTGCAGTGAGACATTGCTGCCAGTTTCCCACAAGGGCTTGCACAAACTCCAAGTTTGCTTGTGTATTGCTTTTTTTTTTTTTAAATAAGCAGAGAAGTAGAGTTACTTCTGTCAGGGTGGCTTTGTAAGGCTGAGAGCGTTGCAGCATTTTGAGGGTGAAGGCAGGACTTGCCTCTCTGCTGTACTTGTTCAGGTACTGTTTCTCACACAAGGCATCTGTGCAGTGGGGAGTGAGCAGGGTCTGTACCAGCTGTGCAGCAGCAACAGCAGCAGCACTGCTTTGTCACCTACAGTATTTTTATTTCTCTTGTTGTGAGAGCTGGAAGGGCTCTGGTGTGATTTTCAGGTGCGGGCTACATTTGCAGGTCTGCCTGTTAGATGAGGGCTGGGTTCATGTGCCTAGAAGTGATGGCAGAGGAAATGTAAGACAAATCTATGAAGTTTTCCTCCAGCTATCCCAAAAAAGACAGGCTGTTTGTGGTTTATTAACAGGGCAATGCTTAAAGTGTGTTCTATTGAGCTGTATCCTTAAAAACAAATTCCAGGTTTGGAACTGCTGGAGCTTTGTGACTGGTCTGTCAGGAGCTATGCAAGTGCAAAGGACTAGTTTCAGAGGCAGTATGGATTCTCCTAAGGCAGATGTGTCTGTTGATGTAATGTCAATGCAGCCCCATCAAATGAATCACAGCCTAAGTTTTTATCCTGAGTACTACCTCACCTTTTTTCCCCCATCAGCTCATAATTTTACAAAATTAAATCCTGCCTGTTAATATACAGTACAGAATCAACCAGTTGGTTGCTAAGACTCATTTGGAGTTGGTGATTTGGACACTCGGGTTTGGGTGGGCTGCCAGTGTATGTTTGCTGTGTTGCCATTCAATGTCAGCCCTCCCATTGCATTCTGTAAGAGCTTCCATTAATTTCAGTAGAAATCTGCATTTGGTGAAGGATGACCTAATCTTTAAAAAGGATCTTAATCCACTTAACCTCTATTGCAAAGCTCAGCATTTTTTCCTTGTCAAGAGCAGACTGCATTCCTAACCTTGATGTGTCACTTTCCAGTTGGCTTAATATTTGAGTGAGGATAGAAGGAAATGTTTTTCAGATACCGAAAGAACCCATGCTGGTAAGGTATGTGCATGTGCAATGTGCAAGTATAAAAAAAAGGATATATGAGCATAATTGTGTTTGGATTGTGGAAAAAAGATCAGCAGATGACTACAGAGAACAAGCACAGGAAGAGGTAAATCTACTGGAAGCAGTGTAAACGGGAAACAATGAGGAAAGCGGAAATGGGGATGAAATGTTATTTAATGTAAATTTAAGTGCAAGACAAAATAGGACTCTTGTAAGTCTGATCTGTAAATGTCTCTTCCCAGAGGCCTGAGGGCACCCAGGAAAAACACAGTCTCTGATGCAAATATAAGACCTGGCGCCCATGCCTTGGTAAGACCAGAGTTGATCTTCCAGGCTACTGCATTAAATCTACCACAGCTCAGAAGGCATGGACAACTGTTGCCAATAGCCTGTGTTCAATTTTGGGGGGTTCAGTTCAGGCTCTGGTCACAAAACAAAGAACTCCACAATTAACACTAATTGGTACCTTCCTTGATCAGGGAGAATGAACCATTCCCAGCCTTCCTGGAGGCAGTCACTCCAGGTCAAGGGAAGAAGTCTGTGGGGATGTCGCATGGCTCACAGGACCTTCCTGCCAGTGGGAAATCTCAAATCCAACCCAATTCACACTGCCTGAGGAATACCTGCTTTGTACAGGATGTTTCTCCTTGGGTGGCCAAATGTCTGCAAGGAGTGAGCACATGCAGATGTGCCCGTGTGCACACGATGGGCCTTGAAGCCATTTGCTCATTTCCCTTTAATCAAAACCTTCTGCTCTTGTGTTTTCTTTTCTGTTTGGTGACTGAAGCGAAGCTTCATGTGCCTTCACGTGGGAGTTAAGTGGGTCAGTGGGGTGCTTTGTTCGTGGCAGCTCTCACGTAGAAAAAATCCGATGCAAAACGCTGAGGCTTGGCAGGAAAGTGCCAATTAAAGATAGCGGTGCGGGAGCACATTGTGTGAGCTGAAAGTGCTCAAATCTGGGGCTGTGACAACTGTCATGTGCAAAGGAAAGGACAAGGAATTATTAAATTTTATGTTGATGTGAAGTACTTGTACTTTCCCTGTCTCAAGTGTTGTTCTCATGCAGTATGGACAAGGAGCCTATTCCATTTCCCAGGTAAGTAGAAGGGGTGAGGCACACAGGGGACCTGTGCCAGACTGGGATCAGCAGCACTCAGAAGTTGGGTACTTGGACTTCACCTCATGTTGGCCCATGGTATTTGTGCCAGCAGCAGTCTAGCCTTCTCCTCAGGATGACACAAGGCTATGCAGGTGATGTGTGCAGGAAATGTCAGTGCCAAGAGATGGCAAAGGGAGAGATCCATTGCTACATTGAGTCAAGGGAGGCTGTTCTCCCCCTTAGCCAAAAAAGCAGTCAAGTTGGGACAGCCCATAAAGGAAGTGTGCTAAGGCTAAGACTGTATAGAGTGTGCTCAACTCTAGGAAAGCAACCCAGGGACAGCCAGGCTTTGACACTGCTGTTCTCTTCAGTTATAGGCAGCTACATCATCATACCATCATTCATAAATAAAAACATTTCTCCTTGAAGCACCAGGCTCTCAGATTCCTGAGCAGATGTTGTGCAAAAGGGCCCTGAAGGAAAGGGGAAGAGCAGGTCATTCAGGTATAGTCAGTATTTCTGCTGAAATAGAGCCAGTCCATCCATCTTCTTCCCACTAGTTTTATTGATGTGTTTTTGTTTGAAAGAGCAGTGTTGGTAATTGAAAGCTAGACTATCCTTACGATTCTTTGTTTTAAAAAGCTTTCTGACTTTGCTTTGCCCTTACTTAGTGCTTTCTGTGTCCTTGCTGCAGATGTCCATAAGTTCATCTCTTTTTTTCACCTTGAAGATGGGCTGTGCTTTGTTTTGCATGTGTATAAGCACAGAGCTCCCTGTGTCCAACCAGACCTTTCTCAACAAGCAGGGAACAGTGTACTTAGCAGGTGGACTGATTAGAGACATATGTGCAGCTTCACTGGGAACAGTATCCTCTCTGGAGACTTTTCAGCTGCATGGTCTCTTTGTTTTGGAGACAGGTAAGTAAATGGAGATCTTTCAGGATGAGAGCATACTAAAAAATACCTTTCTTAAAGGTATGCTATGGATATGGGTACCACCAAATGCCTGCTGCTGAGCCACTGTAGTGAAGGCCTGGTCAAGCAGTCTCATGCAATGGTAGTAGCTCCTCCAGTGGTTACTTCAACTTCCTTAATTTAGAGAGTCCTCCCTGTACCCCAGGATGAGTCTCTGAGGACTCTTTAGCAATAGTACAGTTGTAACCTAACCATAATTTTGGAGAAGCTGAGTTATCCCTGTAGACTGGATTCCATCCAGAAGCTTAGATCTGGTTGCCCTCGGGGTATCCTGCCATGCCTTCATGGGGGGTTTCCACTGGGAGCTGCCGCAGGCGATGGATGTGCAGGTCTGTCACAGATGTGCCAGAACTAATGCAGAGTGATAGTCCTGGGAAAGCTGAGGGGCTGTGCTGTGGAGTCGAGAGCTGAATGAAAGAATACTGAGATTAATGTTAAGAAACCTGAAGAGCAAGAATCAGAACAATGCTTTTACCTCCTACTCAAAAAGTTGCAAGAAAACCTGCAGGTTTTGATGTATTTCGGACTTCTCTTCCTAATGAAAACGAGGCTTATGTGACCAGTCTGTCTGTCTGTTTCAATTCAACTGTCAAGCTAACCCCCTCCTTTTTCTTTCTCACTGTGTAGCAGGGAGGAAACAATCTCAAATTTCATGAGAAACGGAGGAGAGAAATAATCATTGCTGGCCTCAGGGGAAGGCAGGAGGGAGCTCAGGGGTGGTGTGATCCCTTGTGATGGAAGGCTGCCCTTCCATCTGCACGGGCATACAGCCCTGGACTGACCCCACCGTGCCGCCCGTGCCCCCTTGGAGGGGAGTGGCGCAGGACATACAAAGGAAGGTAGGGCTGCTGAGAGCAGGGCGGATTGGAGGGACAAAGAACACAGACCTGTGAGAAACCAGGCATCGTTACTGCTGCTGCTCATGGAACAATTTGGTTGTCCTGAATATAAGAATAAACTGTTCTAAAAGTCTCTGCATGGAGCAAGGAAACAGTCATGTAATAATAGGAAAAAAAATCCAAACATTAGAGCTGATTATGTGACAAATTCTATGCAGACTTTACCTGTTTTAAAATAAAAATGCGAAGAAAACACGTAAAGACCATGTACACAATCTTTTAGTTGCATAATGAGGAAGCTTCTAAGTTCTGTGCAGTTATTGTCCCCTGAAGTCCTGCAGCAAAAGAGAGAATAAAAGTCATCTTTTCTGTGCAAGTTTTACCTAGGAGGGGAGAAAAAAATACTTTAACCTATGCCAGCTGCATTTCTCAGCATTTCTTTACAAAGCTTTAGGCTGCAGAACAGTGAATGTAGAATCACCAAAGTAAGAATCTGTGAAAAAAGGGCAAATATATAAATATATCAGAAGGCAGTTTTGGTAGATTTCCAAAGTAAATGCCTCTTTACTGTAATATTGAAGAGAATAAATTCACAGCAAATGTGTGATACACAATAAATAATAAATATGTGATTATTGATTTCTTACTAAAACTAAACAAAATATTACTTATCATAATTCACCTTACTACTATTCAGTTTTTATCTCATTTCCTAGCTGAAAATGAGCAAGATATTTTGTGAAGGTATTTTGGGAACAGAGAGTTCTCTGAGAGAACTTTGCCTATATTTCTAGCAGATACAGATGAAGTGGAGTGATTGGTCCTTTATTAAGGTACCCATGATTTCTGTCCTCAGCTGCTATTGGGAGACTGCAAAACAGGAGAAGGGCAAAAAAACAGGAGTCCTGTTTGCAGAACTGCCCAACCAGGGAGGGAAAACACTCAGTGCATGGGCTGTGCTGAAGCAGATCTGTTGTGTCTCTACTTTGGGTAGTTCTTAGCCAGTTAGGGCTCTCAGGAGATTAGCTACTGCCTGGGGGTGAGAACCATGGTAATTTCTAAAGCTGGTTTGTAATCACCTACTTTCAGTTTACTCAGAGCTGGCATCCTTTTAAGCACTAATATCCTCAGCTTTCTCTTGACATCTGTGCAGCCTGTTCCAGACTACATTCAGCCTGTGCCCATTGGCTTCACCCAAAGCAGCAGTTAGGTATTCCTCTGCAACCTGATGGCAAAAAAGTACAAACTAGAAAATCTACGGTTATTTGGAGGGGGCTTGCCAAAAGTCATTGCGTTGCCAGAGCTGTGAGCCAAGGAGAAGGGCATTATTATTTTGCAAAGTTATGGATGAAAATCAATCATTTGTTCCACATACAGCTCTCCCATGTTTTGATGGGTCAGACTCAGTGCTCTTTGGGAACTGCAGTGTTATGGAGGTCAGCTGCCTTCCACAGCGCAGAGGACAAGGACAGTGGTGGTTTGAGGGGACATGGAGGTTCATTCCCCACAGCCAAGGAGAAAAGCAGTCACGAGCCCAGGGAACAAGATGGCCAAATGCATCTTGGTAAAGAGCTTCTGCACAGGGCATTTACCTCCCATTCTCACTTCAGCTATAGAGTGGGAGTACTGCAAAACGTTCCAAGAAGAAGAAGGAATTAGTTGCTTTTAAATGCAGCTTTTTAAGTAAGGCTACACAAAACAGTGACATGGAGTGGGTCTAGTGGAGGGTAACAAAGATGATTAAGAGACTAGAGCATCTCTGGTATGAGAAAAGGCTGAGAATTGGGGCTGCTCAGCCTTGAGATGACAGTACCTCATCCATGTATATAAATACCTAAAGGGGGATGTCAAGAGAATGGATCCAGAGAAATGCTCGGTGGTGCCCAGCAACAGAAGAGGCAACGGGCAGAAACCGATGCACAGGAATTTCCACCTGAACATGAGGAAGAACTTCTTTACTGTGCAGTGACCACGCACTGGAACATCTTGTTCAGAGCCAGTGTGGAGTTTCCCTCACTCCAGAGCTGTCATGGCACAACGCTGGAGCATTTTATTCACATAACTGTATTCATTATTATTTATACCAGGTGTCCCCGCTGTGCTCCGTGCCAGCCTGACGCTGTCAGTGATTCTGTGGAACTGTTTCTCCCTGGGGACTCCCCAAAGGAGGGCAGTGCGCAGTCACAGCCACACGGCAGCACTGAGCCCTCACGCTCTCCGCGCAGCGTGGGGGATTCCTCTCGAAGCGTTTCGGCCTGTTCCCGGTCGGAGCAGCAGCTGGGGGCGCGGCAGTGGCTGGATACCGGTCAGCGGGGACGGGGCCGTGGTACTCCCGGGAACAAGCGCGGCATTCCCAGGAACACGTGCGACATTCCCGGGAACGCGCGTATCCGCGCT